ATGTGATGCCATCGTTATGCGGGGGTCCACTGTACTCTGCTTGAAGATGTGAGTAAAAGTGATGACACAGTCTTGTGGCTCTCTGAGACAGAGAGCTAGACGGATAGACAGGGAGCTTGACAGACAGGCAAATAGACAGACAAATGTTAGTATACCAGCAAAAACAAAGGGAGGGAGATGTTTATCTCATCTTTTGGCATCAGCTCTACCCTCATTTACCCTCATCAAACGTCAGCACTTATCAGATGTTATCTCCCCTTATCTTGTTACTGTCATGGGTGAACATTTATTATTACCTATTATTATTATTATGTATTATTATTATTATGTATTATTGTTATTATTACGTATTCTTCTTCCTCCTCCTCCTCTTCTTCCTCCTCCTCCTCCTCCTCTTCTTCCTCCTCCTCCTCCTCCTCCTCTTCTTCCTCCTCCTCCTCCTCCTCCTCCTTTCTTCCTCTTCCTCCTCTCCTCTTCTTCCTCTTCCTCCTCCTCTCTCTCCCCTCCCCTCTTCTTCTTCCTCCTCCCCCTCCTCTTCTTCTTCTCCTCCCCCTCCTCTTCTTCTTCCTCCTCCCCTCCTCTTCTTCTTCCTCCTCCTCCTCCTCCTCTTGCCTCCTCCTCCTCTTGCCTCCTCCTCCTCTTGCCTCCTCCTCCTCTGCCTCCTCCTCCTCTGCCTCCTCCTCCTCCTCCTCCATTCTTGGAACAAGTTTGAAGAGCTTGAGGTTCATAATCACTATCACTATCATCACCAATGCTCACATCTGAGTCTGGGATTTTGGAAAATAGGAGTTTCCTCTTTGATTCTGGTACAACTGAACGTGAACAAGATGGCCCAGCACCAGAGGTGGAAGGCTGTGGGTTGTCTGGGTTTTCCTCACTATTACCCATATTATGGTCATTAGTTTCGGTCAAAACCTCACCAGAACCTTGAAACTCATCTTCACTGTCACTTCCATCTGTATTAGAACTGTCACCGGGGAACAAAAGTGTCCCAATTCGCCGAGGAGTGAGGAACTTCTTACCGCAGGGCACGGTGGAAATTGTGTACTATGATGGCATTCCCACAATGCACCACTGGGTCCCAGATTTTTTTCCTACTGCGCACACCCACCACACAAACCCATTCTCTCACATCTAGGCTTATCAGCCTTTTCCATTGAGATTTGAGGCCGCTAGAATTTATGCGTACTAGTACGACAAAAACCCCTACGCGTAAGACGTACTAGTACGACCAAAACCCTCAAAGGGTTAACAGTTCCTCAAAATATTCCCTCCATCTTCCCAATACCTCTAACTCTTCATTTAATAACTCTCCTCTCCTATTTTTAACTGTCAAATCCATTTGTTCCCTAGGCTTCCTCAACTTATTAATCTCACTCCAAAACTTTTTCTTATTTTCAACAAAATTTGTTGATAACATCTTGCCCACTCTTTCATTTGCTCTTTTTACATTGCTTCACCACTCTTAACCTCTCTCTTTCTCTACATATACTCTTCCCTCCTTGTATCACTTCTACTTTGTAAAATCCTGTCATATGCTAACTTTCTCTTGCTCTTTACATCATCATTCTTCTCTTCACATCATCATTCCACCAGTCGCTCTTCTTCCCTCCTGCACCCAGTTTCCTGTAACCACAAACTTCTGCTGAACACACTAATGCTACATTCTCAAACCTACCCCATACATCTTCAACCCCATTGCCTATACTCTCACTAGCCCATCTATCCTCCAATAGTTGTTTATATCTTACCCTGACTGCCACCTCTTTTAGTTTATACACCTTCACCTCTCTCGCAAGATTTCAGGTACGTCTTGCTACTTCTACTTACACTTAGGTCACACTACACATACATGTACAAGCATATATATATACATACCCCTCTGGGTTTTCCTCTATTTTCTTTCTAGTTCTTGTTCTTGTTTATTTCCTCTTATCTCTATGGGGAAGTGGAACAGAATTCTTCCTCCGTAAGCCATGCATGTTGTAAGAGGTGACTAAAATGCCGGGAGCAAGGGGCTAGTAACCCCTTCTCCTGTATGTATTACTAAATTTGAAAGGAGAAAATTCCGTTTTTCCTTTTGGGGCACCCCGCCTCGGTGGGATACGGCCGGTGTGTTGAAAGAAAGAATATATATACACGTGTGTGTGTGTGTGTGTGTGTGTTGTGTGTGTGTGTGTATATAAATATATATATATACATATATATTTTTATTATTATTTATTATCACACTGGCCGATTCCCACCAAGGCAGGGTGGCCTGAAAAAGAAAAGCTTTCACCTTCATTCACTCCATCACTGTCTTGCCAGAAGGGTGCTTTACACTACAGTTTAAACTGCAACATTAACACCCCTTCTTCAGAGTGCAGGCACTGTACTTCCCATCTCCAGGACTCAAGTCCGGCCTGCCGGTTTCCCTGAACCCCTTCATAAATGTTACTTTGCTCACACTCCAACAGCACGTCAAGTATTAAAAACCATTTGTCTCCATTCACTCCTATCAAACACGCTCATGCATGCCTGCTGGAAGTCCAAGCCCCTCGCACACAAAACCTCCTTTACCCCCTCCCTCTAACCTTTCCTAGGCCGACCCCTACCCCACCTTCCTTCCACTACAGACTGATACACTCTTGAAGTCCCTTCTGTTTCGCTCCATTCTCTCTACATGTCCGAACCACCTCAACAACCCTTCCTCAGCCCTCTGGACAACAGTTTTGGTAATCCCGCACCTCCTCCTAACTTCCAAACTACGAAAATTTTCTGCATTATATTCACACCACACATTGCCCTCAGACATGACATCTCCACTGCCTCCAGCCTTCTCCTCGCTGCAACATTCATCACCCATGCTTCACACCCATATAAGAGCGTTGGTAAAAATATACGCTCTTATATGGGTGTGAAGCATGGGTGATGAATGTTGCAGTGTCCACTGCATATATATATAATATTTATTTATTTATTTATTTATTTATTTTATTTATATATATATATATATATATATATATATATATATATATATAATATATATATATATATATATATATATATATATATATATATATATTATATATATATATTTATTTATTTATTTTACATAATTGGGATACCTGCAGGACCTATTCAACATTTTAAGAATTTCTTTCAATATGAACTAAAAATTTTTGTAAACCTTTTATATAATAACTTTTTTGCAAATGTTTAGTTGTGTGAATATACTGTACTGTGTTCAGTGGGTTTTGAGCATTTGGTAAGTGTGCATTATCCTTCTAATCTTTTGTGTAGAGCAGTTGTTAGCCCAGTATTCCATAAATTTTAAAATTCCTTCCCTATTATCTTCTCTTCCCTATTTCCCTTTTCTCCCTCTTTTATTACCCTCCATTTCTTTTTCCCATTTCTTCCCATACCTTTCTCTACCACCTTTCCCATCCCACTTTCTCTTCCCATCTTCTCTTTATCCTCCTTCCCCTTTCCCTAGTTTTTGTCCCCTTTTCTTAGTCTTCCTTTTTTGTCTCTTTGTTTTCTATTCCTCTCCATCTTTTGTCTTTTCTCTACTTCTGTTGCCTTTCTCTTCTCATCATTGTTTGCCATACCTGGTCTTGTCCATTGGAACACTGGCGATGTTCTTACTTTACACATTTATTTGCTGAAAGGCTCTTTGTCCCAAGTATTTTGGATTTGGGATAATTCAGCGTAGTACAGTGGAACCTTGGCTTACGAACGCACCACCATGCGAATTTTTCAGGATAAGAACCGCTGTTCAGTTGATTTTTGGCTTCTGGATATGAACGAAATTTCAGGATGCGAACTTCCCCCTCAAGGGAGGTTCCTTAAATAAATAAATAAATAAATAAAATATTTATTTGCAAAGGTTACAATGTGTGTGCACATATCAAAATATGTTTGGAGAGAAGAAACCTTCTATCATGCTGAGGCATTTTGGGCAGACTTAGCCTAATACTAATGGACTACTTAAGTCTAGACAGGTGAAAAGTGCACTAGTAGTGGTTACCAATGTTTTGCTGATGGTGGCACCAACTAATGGCAGCCTTTTGAAGTTTCTCCTTACTGTTATTATTATAATTATTATTATTATTATTAGTATTATTATTATTGTGAGTAGTAGTGCATACATGGTGAGGTGCTCTTGATCTAGGGAAATGGATCTGCATTTCAGGTCCCTTAGTTGTTAATAATTATTATAATATGTATGTACTAATTATGATAATACATAATAAATCACGTATAATAAATAATATAATACTATGTATGTGCTGCGTATAATTTGGCTTGACAACACCACCACCAGTGTCAATCTAAAGAATGCTTACTAATGCACATGTGCTTACGGAGCCACCCTCGCGGTGTAAGGAATTCTCGTGATTTCCTTAGGTTTCGTGCAGTTGATAAGTAAGATTTCTTTCTTCTAACCATGGGTCCTAGGAAAGGAAGTGGAAAGGGCAGTGTTGAGAAGAAAAAGATGATGATTTGCATGGAATTAAAGCAAGAAATCATTGATAAGCACACACTAGGTATGTAGTGTAGTGAGGTAAACATAATTGTACATAGTGACCACTCTCGCAACCACAATCCCCCTCCCTTGCCATCCACGTAATAACGTATTTTATTCATTCTAGAGTGTTTATCAGGTTTCTGTGTTATTTACAGTATATTGTTTATTATGTCATATTAGATGAATTGTGACAGATAAATAAGCCGTAGAGTTGATATTAGGGTTATTTTGTCATGCCTACTGAGAGCAGGAGTTCATCTGTAACGAATTTCATTTCAGTTAATTTAAACTAGGAAAATTGACCCAGCATACGAACAAATCAGGATACGAACTAGTCCACGGAACAGATTAAATTCGTAAGCCGAGGTTCCACTGTGTTAAAATATCTTGAATTTTTGTTCTTTGTGTTCTTGCAAGCTTATTCCAATGAAGGAAACTTGATTGTTAAAGGTTTTTCCGCTGTTTGCTTATAATTTTTTTCAATATTTTTACGGATATTTATCAGATTGTGGAGGTGATTGGGATGGATGCCTGGGATGCCCAAGTATCGGTGTATGGAGAAGCCACAGAGGGGGCACAGTACCTCAACATGCAGTGTGTTGATACCAGCATCACCCTCACATTTGGCTGTGCTCGCATTGTATTTCTCAACAAATTTGTTTCGGATGTACTGGTGAGTTCAATCTGTGGAAAGAAAGCTTATGTTACTTTACTGTATCATGAATGTGCTATACAAGTATTTCTGTGAAAAGTATATGTATAGGGTGTAGACTCTTAACTTTTACTTGCTGATTCTTAATAATAAATTTCAGAATTGGGTTGACAAGTTCCAATCTGCAAAGGCAGCTGTTGCTTCAGCAAGTGTAGCTGCTGCAGCAGCTGCTCAGGCCACATTACAAGAAGCATATGAGCAGTGTTCACGCATCAGCCTCTCACTCACCCTTAGGGTATGTTGCTCAGTATGCCTCCCCTCTGAATTTAACAGAAAATGAGGCACTAGTTAACATAATTGACAGATTTTTTAAACAGTAATTTTCTCATATTTTTAGCAATACCGGAAGTATCTTATATTGCTATATGCATAATAGGACTACAAAATGGTCAGTACCCAGCCTCTTCAGAAGTCTGGATTTTTTGTTAAAAGCCAAGAAAGTAATTACAATGCAAGATGATGAAATTCTGCATACAATAACATGTGACTACTGTGTAATGTATGGCAAAGCACACTTATCAGTCATGTGCTTTTGCTTCTAGGATGTAATACCTATATGTACTTGTATGATTCCATGCCTAAGCATAAATTTACATGAAATGAGGAATTAAACAGGCCTTTATATTCATTTACTTGGAAGGGAAAGGAAATTCTTGCATTTAATTGTTATAGAGTACAGCCTCTCCTCACTTACCTACATACTTGTTTACTGACAACTCAGACTTATGGGCTCTTTGACCAGTATGCATATCTAAATAATGTACAGTGGAACCTTGACTTACAAGTGTCCCAGCGTACGAGTGTTTTGAGATAGGAGCTGTGGCTTGGTCGATTTTTTGCTCTTGAGTTATGAGCCAACATCCAAGTTATAAGCCAGCTACCCCCCACTTCCCCCTCAACCTAAAACCTGGACACCTCACTTGTTTATCTTTGATTTCATGCTTTATTTCCATGGAAATCATCCTCTTTTTTTCTCAGCACTGTCCTTTACACTTAGTTTCTGAGGACCCATGCGTAGAAAAATGAAATTTGGCCAAATGACTGTAAAAAAAAATGTAAGCAAAGCATGAGAGAACTGCTCCCACAACATGGTAAACGGTGCACTGAGTTGGTGGCATTCACTAATAATAATAATAATAATAATAATAATTTATTATTATTATTATTTTATTATTATTATTATTATTATTATTATTAATCTCTTTCTTTCAACGCACCGGCCGTATCCCACCGAGGCGGGGTGGCCTAAAAGGAAAAACGAAAGTTTCTCCTTTTACATTTAGTAATATATGCAGGAGAGGGGTTACTAGCCCCTTGCTCCCGGCATTTTAGTTGCCTCCTACAACACGCATGGCTTACGGAGGAAGAATTCTGTTCCACTTCCCCACGGAGGTAAGAGGAAATAAACAAGAACAAGAAATAGTAAGAAAATAGAAGAAAACCCAGAGGGGTGTGTGTGTATATATATGCTTGTACATGTATGTGTAGTGTGACCTAAGTGTAAGTAGAAGTAGCAAGACGTACCTGAAACCTTGCATGTTTATGAGACAGAAAAATGGACACCAGCAATCCTACCATCATGTAAAACAATTACAGGCTTTCGTTTTACATTCACTTGGCAGGACGGTAGTACCTCCCTGGGCGGTTGCTGTCTACCAACCTACTACCTATAATTATTATTATTATTAGTAGTAGTAGTAGTATTATTAATTTAGGGAACTAGAGCACATATTCAATTCCCTAGATCAAGAGCTCCTCAGCAGCATCAAGGTTCCTTGATGCTGGTGAGGGGCTCTTGTTCTAGGAAATTGGATCTGTGCTCCAGTTCCCTAAATTAACCCATAAACGGTCAAAACGTATATATACATTCTTACCGCTAGTCCCCCAAACATATATAAAAGTTTTATTTTTCCTGCCTTCAAATATGGCATGATTGGCCTGAGATGCCTTGTCAGCATAGAATGGGTCATAACACTCATTGTGCACTGTACTAAAAGAATCTGGGACCACTTAGTACCTTGTGAGAGCACCAGTTCAAACGAGCGCCAGCTAGAGCAAATGGCACGGCAAACACCTGGGATTCACTGATTTCATGTAGTGTTAACTCTCCCATTTTAAGAGGAAAGCGATGTTACCCCGAGTTTAGTGGCTTTGAGATGGATGTGACCATAAGTGGTCGAGGAAATGTAAAAAAAACCTCAATAATAACCCATGTGCAACATTTGTGCAACACCCTTTCAGAATGTCTTATAACCTATGCTCTAAGTAAAGAGAAACAATTCTGGAATGTAATACTTGTTCAGCAGGCTGGCTGTTTTGCTGGCTGGCTGGCCAGCTGTGTGGCTGGTCGGCTGCTGACAGCCTGGCTCCGTTTGTCTGTCTGTCTCTCTTTCAATCTGTCTCTGTCTATCTCTGTCTCACTGGTACACAGAAGTACAAGTATACAAAGTGTAAATTACCTAGGATAACCCAAAAAATCCAGACAAAGTGCTATACTCTGCTTGAAGATATGAGTAAACGTGATGACACAGACATGTTTGTGTACCAGCAAAAACAAAGGGAAGGCCAATGCTCATCAAATGTCACCTCTAATCTTATCAAGTTTTATCACCGTACCCTCGCGTATGCTCATCAAATGTCGGCTCTTATCAAATGTTATCTCATCATGTCACTGTCGGGTGGACTTGTTTTTCATGCTTCATGGGAACTGCTGCTGCTGCCGCCACCACCGCCGTCGCTACCGCCACCACCGCCGCCACGTGTCCAAAACATTGCTGGGACATATAAATACTTTGTATATATTCCAAGACAATAGTAAATGGCCAAGGCAAGTGTAAATGTCCACCTGTCAGTGTTTGTGACAACTTGAGTATAATTTCAGTATCTAATACTAATGTCAGAACAAAGATTGGTTATGAAATAACAAGAACTACTATAAATTGTAATTATCAGAAAAAAGATTATACAAAATAATACGAAAAATAGAAAAAATTTATATCGGCAACACTACTGCAAGTGGCAGGACTGTTGCTGTCACGTGAGCATCCAGTGCCAACTTCTCGGCTTCATATCTCTGTAAGTACTGATCCTAATTTTTTTTTATCCTATAACACTTACAAAAATGTGATCTTTATTTTCATTAAAAAAAAAAAAAATTCAAAATATTCGGGGCACTGGGGTAGTGAACATATATATATGTCTGGACCATTTACGGGCTAATGATGATGATGATAATTATTATTATAATGGTAGAGCTTCAGTTCCCTAAATAATACATAATACATGCGTAATAATTCAGAATGCTGCTACTAGTTGGTGCAGCCGATGCCAGAACATCCGGTAAGCAGTACACATGGTTTACATCGCTGTGGGAGCAATTATCGCGTGCTTGATTGCATTTGTTTTACATTCCTTTGGCCAAATTTCTTTTTACTAACCATGAGTCCTAAGAAAGTAAGTGCAAAGGATAGTGCTGAGAAGAAAAAGACGATGATCTCCATGGAATTAAAGCATGAAATCATAGATAAACATAAGCAAGGTACACGAGTTGTGGACTTAGCTACACAATACCAGCGCAGCACATCTTCGATATGTATGATACTAAAGCTGTATCAGTTAAGTTCAGCAATCAAACAAAACAATGTTGTTGTTGAAGGTTTACAGGACCACTGACATCATACACAGCACTGCCAATCTCCCACCCTCGACCTCCACCACCATCTCTGCTCCAAGTGCGTAAGTACATATACACTTTATATAAACACTTTAATATTTCTTTACATTCTGAGGTGTATTATAATTTATTGTTTTTATATACGATATTTCTTATTTATAAAAACATTGTTTCAGTGTTTTCCTTAGAAAACTAGTGATCTACTGCAGTTAGCTTTACAAACACTACGAAAAAAAAAAATTATTTTTTCTTATGAAATGATAGAGAATCTTTTCCCAATTGTAATGACACCAAAAGAATGACATTTGATGGAAAACTGACAGAATTATGCTCTCGTGAAGTTAGCAGCCTCGGCGATATTAACGAATTGGAGATTTCGCCCGCTTTGAGCCCTATTTTCAGCTAATTCCATTGTTCCAGTTGACCAAACTCATAGCTATTTCTTTAGAACTCCATTTTTTCTATCGATTGAGTACAAGAGACTGCCCATTTACCAATTTCAACTGCCCAATAACATGGTCAGAAATTTGCAATTTGGCCAATTTCACAAAAAATTAAAAAAATATGGCAATTTCAAAATAGGGTCCAGAATGAACAATGCAGACATTCCTGACTCTAAAATAACATTTTCTTTGTTCATCAGTCACGTCTCCAGGCCCCTCTTGCTTTCTATTTTGAATTTTTATTCAAAAAAAAAAAAATAGATTTACTATTATGCAGACTACATACTGCAATAAGGTAATAATTGTGTAAATAATATCAACCCATTCATGACTGCATAGTAGAAAATAGACCACAAAGTTGGCATTTTAATTAAAAAGTCTTTTTTTTATTATTATTATTATGCACTGCATGCTGCAGGATTTTTTTATATAGTGCACACTGACCACAGACCCATTCTCTCACATGTGGGCCTACCAGCTTTCTCCTGCTTGATTTGAAGCTGCTAGAACTTGAGTATATGTACGTCAAAAACTGTGGCTCGTAAGACGTATATATAAAACCGAAACAGTCAAAGGGTTAATAAGCACAGACTAAGTACGAGGGTTGAGGACTTGGCGAGTGAGTACAACCGTAGACCCATGCTAATAATAATAATAATAATAAGATGCTATGTGTACAATACTAAAGCAGGAGTCTATAAAAGCTATAGCGCCACCAAAGGGAGTTACAGTAATTTCTAAGCAGCCAACCTCTGTCAATTAAATGATGGTAAAGCTGCTGATGGTATGGTTGATGGAGAAACAGCTCACTGGAGATACATAGTGTAGTGAGATATACATAAAAATTGTACATAGCAGATTCTCTTCCATTTCATAAGAAAAAAATAAAAATTATTTTTTGAAAATTCTTGAACACTTGTGCACCCTTTTGAAATTTGGCCTTTGGACCCTGAAAGGGTTAAGTGAGGAAAATTGACCCAGCATACGAATAAATCAGGATATGAACAAGTCCATGGAACAGATTAAATTCGTAAGCCGAGGTTCCACTATATATCAGAAATCTTATAAATGGTGCAGAGGTGACATTAACCCTTTCAGGGTCCAGAGGCCAAATTTCAA